GGAAAAAATTAGAAGTGAGATGCAAAGGTGTAAAAAAAAATTTAAGTACCCGAATATATGAATTGATCAGGGTATAAAATTAGAAGGGATACGCTTAAATATTTTTTAAAAAGAAGAAAGATATCAAATTACCCCCTTATCCTACTCCACCCTCAAACCAAGCACTGAGTATAAGAAGCAAAAATGTTATAACTATTACCAACAAAATATATGTTGCTACGATGCGTTTTCCAAATTGAAAAATATATATTATTATAACAGCTCATTCCCTCCGAGTGTTTTCTTTTTGTACAACGTTAATTTATCGGTTAATGACGCCAAAGGAAAATGCGTATTGTTCAGTGAAGAAAAATGTCTATGTTCCTTATGAAGTGGTCATTGAAATTAACCCTGCGGTAATTAAAAAAGGTTAATTATTACATTAAGTTTTATTTAATGAATAAAATCTGTTAATTACCTTTCGGCTTTCATGATGATATTTTGTGACGTTATATATTATACAAATACGTATTATTCGCAGAATATTTATTATTATTAAAATATACGTCAATAGTTGTAATTTTTATTTGTTTAATTTCACTAATTAAAATATGGTTATTCGATCAAGTCTACATCAAAGTGTACCTACGTATTTGCGTGTTTCAGCCGATCGTTTTGTGCACACATCGAAATGTAATTATTAGTAACCACTAATAACGAAATAAATTAATTTCGGTGATTGTTTAAAGGTTGAGATTTTCAACCGTTTGATATAGCACGGCGATAATAAACATTAAACGGTAATGTCAGGTGTGTTCGGAATATATCTTTTGAAGTTTATCGACTGGAAAACTCAAATTGTACGGGAACTGAACGGTTTGGCATCGCTCCAGATTCGTAAAACCCGTATGATTAAATTTAGTTTAAAAACGAATTTCTGGTGGAGAGGTGCAAGTTCGGGCTCCATATTATTGTATACATTTTTTCACGGCTATATGCGTTTCAGATGAGTTTTCCCAGTACCTATATAACGAGAAAAACTGAAAATGAAATGTTGAACATAATATTGTATGCATTGAATAATATATTGTGGTTCAAATAGTCTTTTGATACAGATCAATTTCCGATGTCTAAACCTATACATCATACCTATAATACCAATCGTTCGTATTTTCTTTCCTTTTTAAATATATTTTTTTTTTTTTTCAAGTATGAGTGTCATGTTACTTTAAATCCCCAGCTGCATATTAAACAACGTTATGTCTAAATTTGAGCGTATTTATGTTCCTATAATATTTCCGTATAATGACAACGTATTTTTTTCACATGTGATTCAAGTAAAAACGTCTCTATAACAATAGTTATACACCGAGCAATCGGTAATTAGTATTGCAAATACGGTAGAAGTGATATTATAATATTAATTTTAATGACAGTTGAACTTTTCCAAAAGTCTAACTCTATTTGAGCACAGGCGAAACACATAAATAATTAAATAAATCGATATATGTGTTAAGATCTCGTAATTATTATTCCAAATTTAATAAATATTCCTGTTGTATATAAACAAGGTCATCCGCAGGTAATTTTCAGAGGGGGGGGACAAAATGAAACTAGAATCGAGAGATATAAAATTTAAAAACATTATAGGTACACAAAAAACATTTGCCTATTGTTTTACAGTTTCAAAACTTGCATTGATGTTCCGTGTCACAATTATAATACGCGCTTTAAGGTTAATACTAATGTTATTGTCCCTAAAATGAATACTGTATTTGGGCAACAGAGCCCTAAATATAAGTTCATAATATTTTGTATTAAATATAATTTTAATATTCATGATTTTAACAGCTTTAAAATGTATAGAAAATATATCAATAATGTTTTGTTGCAATAATGCCTTTTGCAACGTATTGTATACTGCATATTAATTAACACTTTTCTTAAGTTTGGTTTCACGTCTGTCTGTGATCAAATCTTGCGCGCTCGATTTGAGGCACTTTTTGAAGATGAAAAATTCTGAAAATTGGTATAGACCTTGGTCTTGGATGACAATACAATAATCCGTAAAAAAAATTTTTTAACTAAAAAGTAGAAAATTAAAAATTAAAAATTTTTTTTAAAAAACACTTTTCTAAAAAAACAAAAAAATAATGAAAAATTTAAAAGTGTGGGGCGCTCTTACACTTGACATATTATACCACACACTTTTAAATTTTTCATTATTTTTTTGTTTTTTTAGAAGTGTTTTTTAAAAAAAATTTTTAATTTTTTTTCTTATTGATTATATACTTCTTACTGTAATCATTATCCTTATGTATATTGTTATTATTATTATTTCTCTTTTTTTTTCTTTTTTTGTATTATTTTTCATTTTCTTAATCACTTAAGACTTTGATCACTTATACTCTCTCTTTTCTGCACAAGCTTTGCTTTTGAAAAGAGAACCAAAAATTAATTAATATTTGCTTATAAGATGTTTTGTACATTAATTTTAATTTGGTAACAATAAATATTATTATTATTATTATTAGAATCCAAAACCTATTTATAGCAATATATTAGGTATTTGGTATTTCTCGAAGTATTTATAGTATAATATACTATAAGTACGCAGGATTTTTCAATGATAATGGTGGGGGGGGGGCTTGACAAATTATTAAAATTTTATTTTTTTATTGTCCAGTTTAAAAATTTCAGAAGTATAGGTGAGGTATTTGAAAATGTTTGTACAACTTCAAGTTCTCAACTTTTCTAGTAGAAAAACTGCTTTGATTATAAACTTTGATGGAGGTTTTTGGAAGCAAATTAGATGTAGTTGGTATTTTTGGGTAGGTACTTTTGAATTTTGAATATTTATCAATAATTATTCTCAACACACGAAACTCGGTGAGAATTTTATTATTGCATGAGTGTTGAAGGCTTCTTCATACTCACAAAAGCTAAAGATTTGTGTAAAAAATATAAATAGATATTTTTAAAAAAAAATGTATAATAATCGTAAGTAGAGACACATGCATAACCTCTGGTACCTACTCAGCAAGTTAGCAGCTCGCAAACTCTCCTAATCATCAAATAAATGTGTAGACAAATCGTTGGAATTTGTTGGGTTTTTTTACTTTTGCTCGACTCCTTTTAGTTCAGATGATGTAAACTCTGAAATCTTAACTTTGCGCTGCAATAATGTAAATATTTATCGAACCTTTATTCATGAGATTAAATTATACTTTTTATTTTAACTTCGTAAAAGTAGGTATATAACCTTTGTTTATAAGTTTATAACCTATTTAAATAATCAATTGTTATTACTTTAAAACTAATGTTCCAAAGTGATATCATCGCATTCGATGAAAAAATAATCACTATAGGTAGTTATTAAAATGGTTCCAGGAAATAACTTTCTGTTGGACGAATAAACCAGAACTTTAAAAATAAAAGTCCGAACGGTTTAGTTTATGTTATGATCTGATATTCTGCCAAATTCTCTTTAAATAAGGTCTAAGTATTTTTATGTCTGAAAGAATAAAAAAAAAATAAAGAATTTAACGAGTTAAATATTAACATGTTTAGTACTTATGTATAGTATATTATACAAAATCACATAATAAATATTTATTTATTATTTTTTTTTTTTAATGATTAAACCAGTGGCGGCACATGGTCATTGGGTGTAATATATATAATGCCTTATATTAATTTGTAAATCTGATTTCTATATATTTCTTAAATCGTGGTTTATAGGTCTATTGGGTGAGCCATATCACAACTGTATTTATACTATGATAATATGATAAAAAACATAAATTTTAAAATGAGAAAATTATATTAAATAATTGTGTATAATTTTATAGTATAATAAGTATTTAATGTTTTAGTTGTTATTGTTATTATTGTTACAATGTAGGAAACAAATGCACTTTACCACGCCACTCTCGAATTTCTATTTTTTTTTTAATAAAAAATGTGTTTTTTAACGCTGATTTCGAAATTTTTTGAATTTTTTGCTGAAACCAGTATTTTGGAAGTTATAACCATCCAAAGTTTGGGATTTTACGTTTATACGCACCTTGATCAAATGATAAAGGTAAAAGGTTCGTTTGCAGTCCTGTTAATCATAGTCCATTATAGTCCAGAGTGACGACACCTTATCAATACACCTTGTCAATTGTGACAAAGGGTAGTACCTTGATCATGCACACGGACCATAATTAAAGATATACAGGTTGCACATCGCCCTATAATGTACGGCTTTCAGATTGATTTACAAAGTGACTACATAAAACAGCCGTTAATAATTAAGTAAAGTATCGCTTGATGTCAACACTCAACCATATGTGTCGACATTTAGAACTAATTTTACACCTATATATCATAGACATACAAATTAATATGTCTATGCTATATATCTATAATCGGTTAATTGTAGCACTGCTACTGGTTAATTATTGCTGTAATAGATTATAATATAATACATGACGTGTATTATATAATCAATGATTGGTAGTCATTTCATTCCATAGATATATATTATTCTCCACCGGGAACACGTTCAATGCGACGATCCGTAGTTTTCTGTGAATTACTTTCGTTAGAGTTATCGGATTTTTGTGAGGTTCTGATCAAAAGGTTTCTACGGTCCCCGTGATTCTTTTGATACATCCTGAAAATCGGTTCGCCTTATCCGAAGTTCTGACGATAAGTTCGAAAAAACACGGTGGCGCGTGGATCTGCAATTCTCCACTTAGTCATATCATTGGATGCGTCTAGTCAATCTTAATACAGTGACACCTACCCCATCATTGTGAGGCAAATAACGGGTGAGTACTCAATTATAATATTACGTGTATATATATCGCTCACAGGGCTTCCTACGGTCGGACCGGTTCGCGCCGCGGCGCTCGGGGCGGTGACCCAGACAATTCCATTTTCGGGCGCGGTCCACGCAAACAGCTGACACTGGTCTCAAGGACCTCTCGCGTTTGCAACATTTGCCGATAGGATAGCACAGCGACAACAATGACATGGCGGACAAATCGGCACCACCCTCTTTACAAATTACATCAAAGGTGGATGGCAAGACCTATACCATAGGACAGGTATACCAAACAGCCGAAGGCGGCGAGGTGATCATAGACAGGTTCGATAACACCCGTATCCTGGCACCCCTAGTTGCTGCTAGAAAAAGGCTCAATAATTCCACGGATATCACCGAAGAAGTATTCTTAGGCAAGTCCTACAATGACTTAGACAAACAACTGCATCTCGCATCCGTGCAACACAGGCTAGGCGCACTCGCCAAGACACTTGGCGGCAGCCATCTGGGTGAGGAAGCCACCCAAATCGCTAGGATAATCAACGCGCTCAACAACCACACGCCAGCTTCTGCTAGTCTGCTGCAACTTCAAATCGATGTCCACCAACGCTGGTGGCCACCGAGACCCAGACGAGTAGGCCCAACAGCCCACAAACCACCGCCGCTATTGTCCCTGTGACTCAGGTGGAACCAGTGCAGCCCTGCCCAACGTGCAACTGCCATCAGGCCGTCGTCTCCACCATCGAGGTAGATTCCAAAGCTACCTCCACGAGGAAAAAACGAAGAAAAAGAAGGCCGCCCAGCCAGGCGCTGGCGCTCAAACAACCGCCGTAATGATTAACTTCCTGCAAGTTAATCTGAACCGGTGATGGGCCGCCCAACAGCTCCTGGATATGCGGATAATGGATGAACACCAGAACGGGAATTCGAGAGCGGCGGGCTATGTTCCATAGTTTTTATGGAAAGCGACCAAATGTCCGAAGAAAGAAAAATCGAACAAGCTGTCGATGGCCAACATGGAATAGTAACCAGCGCAGAAAAAGATGAAAACCACTATGACTCTGACACTGATATTAATAAAACATTCATTGAACCGTCTACACGTCCAAGGAGGGAAACGCGACCACCCGTATGGACCAAAGACTACTACACAGCCCACTCTTCAATAACAGAAAACACAGGCGAACCATTCTCATACGAAGAAGCGATATTGAAAAGAAAAAAGAATGAATCTGCAGAATGGGAACAAGCAATGAAGGAAGAGATAAACTCTCTAAACAAAAATCATATATGGTCACTTTTCGAACTGCTAGAAGGAAAGAAAGCAATAAGATGCAAATGGACATTCAAAATAAAAAAGAATGCAAACGGAAAAATACACCGTTACAAAGCACGACTGGTAGCAAAAGGATATGCACAAACACATGGAGTTGACTACTATGAAACCTACTCACCAGTGACGAACATCACTATTATTCGTTCACTCCTAGCCATAGCAAATAACAGAAAAATGCATATACATCAAATGGACGTGCACACAGCCTTCCTTAACGAAGTCCTCGAAGAAGTGTACATGTGTCAACCTGAGTGTTACGGAACAAATTCGAATTTGGTATGCAAAATTACACGAATCAATCTACGGACTAAGACAGGCCGCTTGTGTATGGAATCACAGCTGTGACCAAGTGCTGGTGAAAAATGGGTTCAACCACCTAAAATTTGACAATTCTGTGTACAAGAATTCCAATGATAGCTTGTTCATCGCTATATATGTTGATGATATATTAATCATAGGCGCTGACCCAGCGTCCATCAAATGCATAAAAAAAAAAACTACAAATGACGTTTGATATGGAAGATTTTGGTCGATGTGGTCTTCTTCTCTTTGAAGTCCTCGAGTCTTAGCCGGGTTTCCATGGGTGTTTTAGAGGGCTTACAATTTTCCATACCAAATATTTCTAGTACACTGTTGAGATAGGTGATTTGATTGATGTTTATGGTCTTCCCTCGAAACTCCCTCTTGATGTTGAGACCCAGAAAGTGCTCACATCGACCAAAATCTTCCATATCAAACGTCATTTGTAGTTTTTTTTTTAGCACTTTCTGGGTCTCAACATCAAGAGGGAGTTTCGAGGGAAGACCATAAACATCAATCAAATCACCTATCTCAACAGTGTACTAGAAATATTTGGTATGGAAAATTGTAAGCCCTCTAAAACACCCATGGAAACCCGGCTAAGACTCGAGGACTTCAAAGAGAAGAAGACCAACCACAGCGTTTTGGCGACTGTCGGTGTCGGTCGGCAATTGCGACGATTGCGGCATTCCGGCCCATGGTGGGGAAAATTGGGCTCCGCACCGTCGCTGCCGGTCATTCTGCATGTGCGTGACGGTACTGATCTCTCGTGGGCAGGAGTATAGTCATGTTATTTCCAATATTCATCAGTCGACCATACCTTTATTTATTAAAATCTAATACACAGCGCCCTCTGTATTTAACATGGACTAAGATACAAATTGTGTAGCCAAATAAAACCACCGGTAGAGCTGAAAACTTCAAGAACAGTATTTTTATCAGCTAAGTGACATCTTTTTGTGGCCAACCCTGTCGTTTCCAGTCCATTATTTCTTAGTCCGTGGTATCCAGTATATTATCTTAATTCGTGCTACATACAGCATACTGAGCCGCCGGAACACTCAGACCCCTGAGCAGGAGACCGGCGGTCTGTCATTGGTCGGCTGTGTTCGGCGATCGGCAGTGCTCGTGAAAGTAGGAAGCAGCTATTGGCGACGATCACCACTAGCGCTCCAAAGACGGACCGGCCTGCGCGGCCGCGACCAGTTTTCGTCTGAAATTTAGCAACTACCATAAATTTGTTTTTTATTTTTTTTTGTAGATGCCTTAAAAATGTTTTTCTCATCACATAAACTGAAAAGACAGAATTTTTTGTTAAAAATATTTAAAACGTGATTGAAAGTACTTTTAAGCTATGGGCAGTTAAAATGTCAAGTTCTTTTTAACCGTGCAATAAATAAAAATATAGTTAGATAAGTTGGCTAAACTGTTTGGATTTGGACAATATTTTAGTCCACATGAAATGGTAGTATTGAATATCCTGCTATTTGGCTTCACTTTTTAGAAAAATCAAAAAATCGTGACCGTGTGGTTTAAAAAATTAAACTAAGAAAATCGTAACATAGAACAATAAATCGTACTGAAATATAAATCAATATGCCTATTGATTATTACAAGTTTTTTTCAATAGTTTTGGAACCAACTTCAGTATATCCAACTCGTGGTGTACATAAAACGTTTGAAACTAGCCGACAATACATACACCTTACATCGGCCGTTTTGGACATGGATTTTGAATCCATGATTAGACCTGCAACATTCCTTCCAGGTTATTGTGAAAATATTCAACGTTGGATGACAAGCAAATACACTTTGAAAATGAATATCAATGGCGAAGAGTCGGTACTATGTCACTTACACGTGGGTAATAATTTCCAATCAAATATAGATGTGCATCTACCACCGAGTGTTGTTCAATCAGAAGTTGAATTTTATTGTGAAGAAACATGTAGAATACATCTTAACGGAAAAATCCTGCTGCAGTAGAACCCAGAGTGTATTAATATTAGGTATCTTGTATAAATTGAAATTCATGTATTTTTGACATTATTTAATCATACAATACTAATAGTCAAATTACTATTAATTTACTTAATGTGAAAATATTGAATAAAATTACTAAAAATATAAGCCAATAGCTGTTTTTTTTTTTTTTTTTACAATTAATATTCTTCAGTTTAAGATATAGTATATTATATTATTATGTACTACAAAATTATTTTACAACCATTTAAAATAGTTGATTTTTTTTTAATTTATACAATCTGTATAATATATTTTTATAATAGGTAAGCACAGTCGATGGAGAGACTCATAAGAGGGCTTGGTTGAAGAAAGTATTCAATAATTTATAGTACTCCAGCATTCAGGGCATGTGGGTAGTAGTCGACTAGTAAGACACGGCACCATCTACGCTTTAAACGTCAAACAGGGTCAGCTAGGATTGTTCGATGTTTATTGATGTTTTGGATGAGGAGGTTTTAGTGATTCGCTAGTTTAAGGTGGAAACGTATGTATAGACTTTTTGCAACGTTTTTGACTCTCTGAATGAGGAGGTCCCTGTGGAGAGTACCATTCAATACATAAAAAAGATCTTGAGAACAGAGTTAATTTTTTAATTTTTAATAAACAGGTTCTATACGTCCATACATACTATATAGTCGGAGGAACCTAGTGGTTTAATTGGGGAAGGCTGGGGGACGGTATTCCACTTCTCTTTTAAAAATATTTTAGCTTACCCCTTCTAATTTCAAGAATTAATAAGACATTCAAATGTTCAGGGGACGCACAAATGTTTTATACTTTTGCATCAACCTTCTATTTTTTTTCAAATTCAAGCACTGGGAGTAACTCGATAGTTGCATACACACCACAATCGATACAAGCAACCACTAAACAGTTAAACTCTTGATATAATATATTATTATAATGATGATGTGTTAAATACGGTTTGGAGGCATAAGTATTAATGACTAATCAGTAGGTACATATGTGTGCATCTGGTCACAAAGTAAAATTGTATTTTGGAAGTGTACAGTTAAATCCTGCCCTACAAAAAGTAGGGGTGCTGTTGGGAATTGGTTTTTATGGCTGTCATTTAATTTGTATGCAATTTATTACCTATGCTTTATATTTTGTTGCGCTGAGGAATTGGTTTTTGTAAAATTGTGTCTAAGTCATACTGTTCACAGTTAACATATTAAATACATACTGTGATTCTAGTATTCTACAGTTCTACAGTGCATTGGAATAATTTAGTTATGGATATTGGATAATAGTGTACCTACTCATTTATAATGGTTACATGGCCTCTTTCGTAGATAATATAGAGAATAAATCTCCTTTACTATAATTTATAAGATAACAGTGACCGTAGATCAACATTGTAAAAATATACTTTTCATTTTTATTTAAGTTGAGTAGAGATTTAAAATGCAAATACTTTTTTTTAATATTATATTAGGTATTTTTAATTTATTATTATATATTAGTATATTCTCTTACAAAAACAGTGTTAATGACAGTGAACAAACTGTATAAACTATAAAAGTCTTGAAAAATATTGTAAACTATACAACTATTTACGTTTATAATTAATATCAATTTTTAGAATGAGGTGTCCTGACTTTATTGTAATAAACAGCTCTTCCTATTTAATTTCATTAATATATCAATATTCATAATAGATGAATTGGTTTCAAAATTATCGATTTTAAGTTTTTTTTAAGACTTTAGTAACCTATGTGTCTAATGTACTAGATTATTAATTAAGAAATAACTATTTTATTACATTTATTCAAAACCATTATCTGCATTGTCATTAAATTAACTTGAAATTTTAACCATAACATAGTTTGACATGCAATGTCTAAAAAAAAACTGATTTTATCTTATATCTTTTAAATAGATTATAGATGAAATTTAGGATATTTGAATACATATAATATATAATAGTCAACATTTGTCAATAAATACTTGCCATAATAGGTTTTGGGTAAAAACACTAACAATTAAGTAGACAAAAAATAACTTTAAAGGTAAAAGGGTGAAATAAACTTTTAATGGTCCATAGAAGATGTATGAGCTGAATCAGATGATGTCGAGTAGTCAATGTTAGTTATAATGGAAGATAATAATATTATTCCTAATAGTTAACCTAGTTTATCAGAAGCTCGCATTTATTTACTATACCCACAGAATATATAATATATTCCATATATTCAGACGATGTTGAGTAGTCAATGTTTATTTGTTTGTTTATTTATGTATGTACTCCGATCGGTAATTTTATGATTACATTTAAAATTAATATAATAATATGTTATAAATGTTAATAACACACAGTAGGTAACATCAAACATAATATAGAAAAAAAACTCAATAAATATAAACATAATATAGTCCAATAGTGTATATTATAGTGCAGCATGTTAGTTAATGTAAGTCATGTAAGATACTATTATTCTTAATAGTTAACCTAGTTTCTCAGAAGCTCTTATTTACTTACTATAACCACAGAATATATGATATATACCCTATATTTCATATTATATTGTGGTGTTATAATTAATAAATTAATATATATTTTGTGAATATATTACAAGTTTTACAAAACTTTATCCATTTAACTATTATGTAAAGAACTTAAATAATGAATATAATATATAATAAGAGCACTATAAAAAAACATATTTACATAGGCTCGAATAAAAAAAATGCATAACATTATGTTATACTCATAAAATCATGGTACATAATATTGTGCACAGTATATTTTTTATTATAAGCTATGCCTACAATTAACAAAACACTTATGGCAAAGTATTTATTTGGAATAGCAACTTAGGTACACTTATTATTGTTGACAAATTAATTTTATTCAAATAAAATTAAATACTACATTACTAATATTAACTAGGTATCCAATACTACTTTAGATACCTAAGCTATTATAATGATGATTGATGAATTCGAAAAGCCCTGAATTTTTCCAAATAAATAATTAAATAAATAAATAATGTCCTCAGAGATTTTGGGCTGTTTTTACATCACTCACTATTGTTTGTTAACTAAAACTAAAACAAATTAATTAATACTTTATCTGTGTGAGGAAGATTTGAATGTTTGATTGTTTTAGCAGTACAAGTACCTATAGTAGTCTTTTCACTTGCTTCTTCATTCATACATTATTATCAAAATTTTACCTAGAAATAATTGCACAGTTATATACAACATAACAGTTAGCAGTAGGCAAAATCTTACCGAGTTACTAAATTATTGGGAGTGACTTCGATCTGGCGGCGATGTTAATATAAGGCGTCTAGCTAGGCTTAATATAATAATTAATCAGATAATTAATAATTTAATAATATTATACATTAATACATTATAATATAATAATATTATATATTATTTTAATAGCATAGAACATGTTCTATGATTATAGTATATTATCATATATTTATATTCTGTGCGATATATTAATTATAATATACCCTGTGATTGACTATTGTATAATATTATACTATAGGTACGCCTTTTAATATAATATAATATAATGGTGTGTTTATTATATCAATAATTTATTTGTGATCAACGAACGTTTTCGCTGCTGACAATATTGACATTGGCATTTGGCAATTGGGCATTGGCATTTGGCATTCGTATATTTGTAATTTGTATAACGTAATGATAATAGAACATTATAGAATTGAAACTCGATCAGCTGATTGGGGTATTGGTTCCCTATGATCTGAAGTCTGAACCTACGAAAAACATGGAATTGGTTCCCGCACCAACATGATGTCAGACCCGTAAATCAAGAATTGGTTCCGCGACTATGGTGGGATACGTGACGCGGGGTCGGCACTAAGGCGCGATACGGGACGCGGGGTCGGCACTACGGCGGGATACGGGACGCGGGGTTTTCACGTATGCCACGCCCTCCTGAGTCCTGAAGACCGTTATCGCCTGGTTCGGCCAACGCACGGAGTTTCGTATGCCTGGTATTATATAATATACAGCGTAAGTACCACGATGTAGAGAAGATAAGGTGACACCGCTCCCGTATCTTTCAATGGTACAATATTGGCGCAAAAAATCACGGCAGTTTGGTAGTTCAGAATTTAACACCAGAGTACGCCACCCTTCGTTCGAAGGCCGACTTTTATACGAGTCGTAATGGAGATAGATTTAAATTTTATTTAAATGTATTAATTATTGTTGTTCAAATGTCGATAGTCAGCTTGCCAACATAATATATTTTATGTTATATTGTATAGATTATTAAAATAAACTAATGTTTTGGAATCATGTACCAATTATTATGTAAAAATTGTAATAATATTATATGGTATGTAGCCATATCGTATAAATTTATTGATTTAAATAAAATGCATATTTATTTTATGATATTTATATGTTTATTTATTCATTGACACATATATGTACAAAAATGGAATTAGTAATATCTACGTACAATAAGTATGGATAAGGACGAGTTTAAACTGTTAATAAAAACTCAAAATATATAGGTACTACTACCGTCTACCAGCTACTGACCCAAGTACACCTAAATAAAAATCATAATTATAGGTACCCATATGATATTGATATATAATAACAAAAAAAAAGGAATGTTACACCATGTTGTGTGCCCCAGATAATCATGAAGTACAAGATAGAGAAAAACTCCTAGAATTGAAAACTCGTGGTTATTTACTTGTACCATCTAAAAAACTTTATGAAATTATTTACCAAGTAATATAATAATATAATATATAAATATATATTATAAATATAAATATGCAAACAATTTGCATATGTATAATATATTTGTATACTAACTAATAATAATTTCCTTTATTATTTGTTTTAGCTTGAAGATGCCATTTGCTCAATTATTGCAAGAACTAAAATCCAAAAAAATTTATTATTTTTAATATTAGATGAGCTAAGAACAGAAAAATTTAATATTAACTTACTCGGTTGTGATGAACATGCAAATGCATTGACCAAAAATATTATAACATTTTATTTACAATCAAGAATGTATTTTGTATGTGATGCAGAGAATGCTAATCGAGAAAAAAATAAAAGACAAAAAAATTTAGCGAAGCAGTCGAAACTTATATAACCGTGTACATAAAGTTGTTGAAATAAAATACTTATATAATAAAACTTTCTTAATTTAAACTATTTTAAATGTTACCTAATTGAATAGAATGATTACCTAAAAATAATTCTTACGTGGTTAATATTATAAATTTGAAGTAATAGTGTCAAAAACGACAAAAATGTATATAATTTTTGAAATTTTACGTTAAAAACAATGTATTCACAATATAAAAACCGGCCTTCGGGCGAATGGTGGCGCTACCTACCACACTGCCGAGAAAATTTGCGACCGGAATATGTACAAGTGGTGTCACCTTATCTTCTCTACATCGTGGTAAGTACCTATTATCATAGATAATATAAGAATGGATAGGACATGCCTATACCAGTTCCATATGAGGCCGTGTGCTTTTTTGGGGAAGAGAGAACGTAAAGAGAGAAAGACTATATGAGGCTTTTTAAGGTTATGTGCAAAACTATTTTATTAAATAATAATAATAATAACATGATAGTCAGTTATATTTAGATATTTGTCAGTTTGTATTTTGATTGTTGTGCCACCTGTGCCTGGAAAATGGAAATTGGAAAATAATATTTTAACAAAATGAAATTATATAAATTTTATTTATTATTATTTATCAATTATCATATCAATATTTGCCTTATATAACCTTAAAAATAGTATCACTACATTTTCATGTGATAAGTTCTTATGTCCTATCCATTCTTATATTATCTATGCCTATTATCACGGACTAAGATATACAGGACTGGACACGACAAGGTTGGAGGGTGTGGGGGGGTTGACTACGAAATGTTTTACAACAGGCAGTGTTCGGGGGGATATTTTCCTTTTAGCATTACTAGCGCCGTCCTAGTGGATACTTATAGAACTAGAACACATCATACAAATTTCTAGTTCCATAAGTATCCACTAAGACGGCGCTAGTAATGCTAAAAGGAAAATATCCCCCCGAACTCCGCCTGTTGTAAAACATTTCGTAACCACAATATTCATCTCGTGTCCAGTCCTGTATATCTTAGTCCGTGCCTATTATATAATTATCACATACATGGGTACCTTTTTTGTTTTCGCGACAACGGACTACGATGGAAAAAATAGTTCTATCTTCGTCCGTACGTGGTGCTGAGAGCGACGATCGAATGAACAATTATTATCATTAGACAGTGCAGTGTGTTTATTTTATTCACTTTTCTATTTTTAGTTAAAAAAGGAAATAAAGGATTTAAAATTTTGTGGGAAAGTTTAACGGAGAGCGGCGGTCGCAATAAACATAATATATTAATATTACTTATATAATATTACTTAGAGTTACGTATATTATTATTATTTTTATTCGACATTTCGACATAACCTAATAACCTATACTATAGTGTTACCGTGAAGTGTGAGATTTGTCATAATATTATTCAATATTGTCTCCAGTTTGAGTGAAGAGTGTTATAAATGTGTGAATACTAGTATTCTATGGTTGTACTGTGCAAGTGTATTCACGCCTAGGCTTAACAATATTTAATCAAGTATTTATATGTTAGTGGCATTATTAATTTATTAGTTACCTAATACTAATGAACCGACATCTTCTGTGCACTTTTGGCACTTGGCACTTGGCAGTCTGTTGCGGTCTAATATTGTCCCTATTTTCGAAACACGATTTGAAAACTCGGAAGCTTATAAATTGTAAGTATCCGCTTTACATTTCTACTACCTTTATGTTTCTAATGGACAGTAGGCACCATTTACATTTATTACATTTTTTTGTTGCAGGTATCTTCACACCTATTGGTATTTAATCAAGAATCTATACCATTGTGGCATTAATAATTTACTAGTATATCAGTGTATTGTTGTCTACGATTGTGCCATAGTTGGTTAATAGGGTGGTTAATAATCCAACATCCTGTGTGTACTGTTGGCACTTGGCAGTCTGTTGAGGTCTAATATTGTACATATTTTCGAGACACGATTTGAAAACTCGGAAGCTTATAAATTGTAAGTATCCGCTTTACATTTCTACTACCTTTATGTTTCTAATGGACAGTAGGCACCATTTACATTTATTAAATTTTTTTTTGTTGCAGGTATCTTCACACCTTGTTATTTAACCAAGAATCTATACCATTGTGGCATTAATAATTTACTAGTATATCAGTGTATTGTTGTCTACGATTGTGCCATAGTTGGTTAATAATCCAACATCTTGTGTGTACTGTTGTCAGTTGGCAGTCTGTTGCGATCTATAATATTGTACCTATTTTCGAAACACGATTTGAAAACTCGGAAGCTTATAAATTGTAAGTATCCGCTTTACATTTCTACACCCATTTTATATGTGTTTCTAATGTACAGTAGGTCGGAGTTACATTTATTCAATTTTATGGCATAGGTAGGAACTGAGGAACCTTTTTCATCAAATGTTTTTCTTAAAATATATTGTAAATGATTAAAAACAATAAAGGTATAAAGCTAGTTTACGGCCCAATCTCGTTTTTTAATTTTATTGTTGTTAAAATCTAATGTTTATCAAGTTAATGAGTACCATAATATGTAAAATATCGGCATCCTCTCCAACATGCTAGATACCTATACTGTATTATTGTCTTATAATTAAATAGTTCCAATTGGCAATTACTAATATCACTTAGGTAGGTATTGTCTTTAATTTTGGCTTATTTATTTTTTATTATTATTTATTTTACCTACCTTGTATAATTACCCACAATTTAATACCTACCTAACTGATATTTTTATTAGACTTTTTTTTATTATTTTCACCTAATGAATAATGACAAAAATACCTATGGTAAAAACATAAATTAATTCTGTAACTGTTCCCTATGGATATTTAGAATTTTAAAACATTAAATAGTTTTGATTCTAAAAATGTTGGTTTTTTCAGTCTACGGCTCTTATTTAATCATGCCATTTTGTCAAAAAAATTTTAATTTGAGTGTTCGATCCAAGAGAAGGCAAGGCGGGTAACAGAAGGATTCAAAAATAATGTTCCAATAAATTTGGTTGACCCTGTTTTGTCAACATCTAGTACATCGGAAAATGTAACTACCACTTCACATTTGAATTCTAATTTAGACAATATATTTTTTTTACCATCCAACCAACCAACCCAAAATTCTAGTACATCGGAAAATGTAACTACCACTTCACATTTGAATTCTAATTTAGACAATATATTTTTTTTACCATCCAACCAACCAACCCAAAATTCCAGTAATCAATTAAATGCTAGTCATATTCGTCATGATTTAAATGATAGTCAAATCATACCAAATAACTTAAACATACATTGTTCTGAAAAACATAATAACTCTCATTTAATTGATAAAAATATAGATTTTGAACCCTCAGACCCATCTCAGACGCCATCTGATGATATTAAATGTTTAATTAGAAAATGGACCATAGAATTTAATATACTTCAAATTGCCCTAAATAAGTTATTGAGGATTTTAAAAAGACATAAATGTTTTGATTCCTTTCCTCTTGACTCTAGAACTTTGATGCAAAATAATAATAAACATTTGGGTATTTCTAAATTAAAAACTATAGAACCAGGTTCTTACTACCATTTTGGTATTGAAAACGGTATAAAATTAAATATGGTTGATAATGTTAGAAATGTATCCGTTATTGAAATAGCTGTAGGGATTGATGGCTTACCTTTATACATATCGAGTTTTTGGCCAATTCTTGCCTATATTCGTCCAAAGGGTTATGTTTTTCCGATAGGAATCTATCATGAAAAAGATAAACCATCAGATAGCAACAAATTTATTTTAGATTTTATTGAAGAAGCTAAATTATTAATGCAAAATGGTGTTAGAATAACCGGCAAAATGTACGATTTCCGTGTTAGTGTATTATGTTGTGATGCCCCTGCAAAATCTTATGTTTTAAGGACTAAAGGACATTCTGGGTTTTCTTCATGCTCCAGGTGTGAACATGAAGGAGAATACATTCAAAATAGAGTTTGTTTTCCATACTTAAAACCAGAAAGATGTCCCACTAAACGCACTCATCAAAATTATATAACACGCTTAAATGAGGATCATCATATAAAAAAATAATTCAATAATTGCTACATTACCTAACTTTGATGTTGTTTATGGGTTTTCTATGGATTATCTCCATTTAGTTTGCCTAGGTACAGTCCGTAAACTAATTCATTTATGGATCAAAGGCCCAATTAAAGTGCGTTATCCTTCATGGAAGATAAATGAAATGTCAATTTCAATGAACCGTTTAAAAATAAATATTTTTTGTGAAATTGCCCGTAAAACTAGAGGTTTTGATCAAGTTAATCGGTAGAAGGCTACAGAATTCCGTACTTTTTTGTTATATGTAGGTACTATAGTTACAAAACCAGTTATATCTGATGCTCATTGGAAACATTTTCTCAATTTAAGCATATCTATGATCATATTATTAAGCCCAGATTTCAGTGAATATTTAAATTATGCTCGTAAATTATTAGAATCTTTTGTTGAAAACTTTCAAATTTTATATGGTAGTTATTTAATTTCACATAATATACATGGCTTAACACATATATGTGATGATTACATTAATTTTGGTCCACTAGATCAATGTTCAACCTTTCCATTTGAAAACTATATGGGTACTTTAAAAAGAATGTTGAGAAAACCAGATAAGCCACTGGAACAAATTATTAATAGGTATAATGAAATGGCTTCAATTCCTTGTAATACAGAGAAAAAAGATTTTTATTTTTCCGGACTCCATAATAAAGGTCCATTGTTAGATAGTGCAGCTATAAATTCACAATTCACCACTTATAAATGCAATAGGTTTACACTTAAAACGCACATTGAAGCAGATTCTTATGTTTTAACCAAAGATAACAATATAGTTAAAGTTTTTAACATTATTCAATCTGGCAATGAAAATGAAGCTATTATAATATGTACACAATTTATAAATCCTTTCCCCTTATTTAAAAAACCAATTGAGTCAACATATTTAAATATTTATGTGGTTAATAAATTAAATGATAAATTAATTTTATTTAATATTAAAGATATTAAAAAAAAGTTTGTGTTTTCCCCTCTGGTGAAAATCTAATTGTGTTTCCATTATTACATTCTTGTACTAAATAATAGGTGCAGGTAGTTCTTAACACTGTAAAATCTAGATACCCTTTTAAAATATACATTTTAAACACTAAAATGTAATTTGAATTGCATGATTATTATTATATATTAAATGTATACAATACACTATAAAGACCAGTTATTAATTATATTTAATTATATAAAATTATATAACAGTACCCTGCATTTTTTTTTTTTTGTCATTTTATTTGCTTATTATTCTTTGTTAAATACATATTTAGATATTAATAAAGCCATTATTTGTTTCTGAATAATTTATTCTATCTTACTTTAATTTGAATAAGTGCGTACTGTTAGAAGTCTTGAATGAATTAAAAGAGATAACCCATTTTATGATAAAACTAAAATTAGAAAAAAAAATATTCTATATATTTCTGTTTACAGTTAGGTATTATACATTAGGGTCTTGTTAATCTAACACATTAATCCAAAAAATCCATTTCCCCAATTTCGTTCAAATGAACAAGACTACTAAAATTGTTTTAAATAACTATACCATACATGAGTAAACCTTAAATTATATCTTTAATATGATATTTAAGTAAAATCAAAAACACATTAAGGTGTGTTACATTCAGATATTAAGTGGACAATAAAGAAATAGTAGGGAAATAATAAATTATAATATATATTATATAATAATGTAATATTGAGTATAAACTTAATCACCTATTCATTCTTATAATAGGTACAATTTCATGATGTGGTCAGTAATTATTTTTGAAAATAATAACTATTGAAGCAGTTCCATCAATTTGGCATCGTAAAAATACATGCGCGTGGCAAAAAAAAATCCAAAAATGTTTATTGAAAAACAAGTTTTTCCAAACAAAACAGATTTTTATTTTTTAAGAGCTCGTATAATTGGGAAAGATGTTGGTAAGAACTTTGTAGATAATAATTTGAAATAGCAAAAATTAAAGTGTAATTAGTATATGAAACATAATAATAATATAAATAATAATTTAATTATACACAGATCATCCCTATTTTATAGATATTATTATAGATACAATTTTAAATTTTTTCTAGACAATTATCTTGATGCTAGAAATAGAGCAAAAAGAGGAGAAAATACATCAAACTTATCTGACAATGTTGATGAAAGCGTGAAAAAACAAAGAAAATTTAAGACATTTATTTCAAACAAAAAAGATGCTTGCCTGTGGGACTCCACTAGTGAGTATCAGTATTCCACATAATAATGTATTACAAATTTTAATGTTTTGATTTTATTAAAAACATTATTTTCATATCATTGCTCATGTAATTGTATATTGTGATACACGGCTAGCATTAAAATTATTTTGTTTTTAGATTCGTCATCTGATGATACTGATAACGGGGAAGTACATTATAATATGCCAAATAAACCTACAGGTAAAAATACTTTGTAATATATTATATTTATTGTTATAAAATATTAATGTAAAAATAGAGACATGTAGTCATTGATTTTTTAATAGTATATGTAAAAATAAGTATTACTTTAACCCATTAGCGCCGTGCGTTGCCATATGGCAACATAGGTAGACCTATTTTTAGAAGCTAATTTCTCATTGGGAATTTGACCAATAAAAAAATTTAAAAATAAAAAATAAAAAATTTCGGCGCTAATGGGTTAAAATAGTTTAATCATATTCTTATATACAAACAAAATTGTGCTAATTTTTTTTTATTTTTTATCATACAACAATAGTTAAATATAATGTTTTAGATGATGTAGATTTCAAATATGATAAAGGAATCGAAAAGATAAGTTTAGGTGAATCATCCAAGAGAAAACTTAATTTTGATGAATCACCACCACCTATTAATAAGTATCAATCAAATAATAGTCAAACAAACTTTAATATAACATCAGAACCTATTGAGTTTCAATCTGCCTCTATAGACAATATAGTAGTAGTTGCTGGTAGAATTTAATTTAATTTAAATTTATTATATACTGCATACCTAGCTTTATATAAAAAAAATGTTTTCTGTGAACTTGTGATTAATTTGCATCTTTTATTTTTAAAGATAATACCGATGATAGCCACAATGTTGAAGGCACAGTTAATAACATTATTAGAACGACGGCTTCACCTTTTAAAGTGACAAATATCAATGATACAACGACAACAGAAATAACTGAACCGTATATTCCACTGTCATTAACACCAGCTGGTTCGCAATCTTTCACAAGTGATTCATTAATTGGTAAGTACCAATAATGTGTTGAATAAATAGAAACTATAATTAAAAAATGTGTAAAAAAATTTTATTTTTTCCAGACAAAGTAAACAAAATTAATCGTACAACCTTAAACACATGGTATGAAATAAAATCAATGAATGAAAAAATCGAAGAATTGGAGACAAATTTATTTATGATTAGTAATAACCGTGTGCAAGTACATACTGATGACAACAATTCTTTTGATTCCATGAATACATTTGAAGTTATGATGTCTGTTTTACCAATAGTAAATGAAGAAAGTCTAACAACATTTGAAAAATATCTTTTAGATTATAATTTTAAGAAAAAAAGTAGTAAGTTTTAAAGTTATAAAATGTATCATTATTATAACTATAATTATATTTTAAAATTAATAAAATGCTTTCTTTAGGTGTGTGAGTTATCGCGTTTAGTAAGGAGTACTATTCAAAGTACTACTCGTGCTATATTACGATATTTATTCGATGATTCATCTTTACAAAACTATAGTTACAAAGGGCAAAAACAAAAAAAAGTATTTTCAACTTTAGCCATTTGTTCAGTGATTTTTGGTATGTATGTTTGTTATTATCGTAAAGTAAACCCCTAGTCAAATTTAGGTGTAATAGATTACAGATTTCCTAAGATTTATAATGTTTTCTAAGATTTTCATTGATTATAACACCTATTTCCAAACAATTTTATTATAAAAATAGTAATTTGAGCTGTCTTACAATCTACCTTTTACATAACAAACTATTACCATAAGAATATTTGTTAAAAAAAAAATTAAGTAAATTTATGAAATTATAATTTTAATTGAGTAGGTATAAACATATTATAATGATTTGTTAAATGAATATATTGATTCGTAAATTTTTATTTAGTTCAACCTATAAGTGTAAACATGGCCCTAATATAGGTATAAACTCAATTACTTAATCTTATAAAATTGAACCAAATTTAAGTTGATAGTATATTTTGTATTATGAATATGTATATTGATGAATTCTGTGACTGTTTAAATTAAAGAAATAGGTTGTCTCAAATTTTTGTTTTACTAAATCCAATTTGCGATTCACTAATTATTAATATATAATATTATTCACAACTAATAAAACTATTACTATGCTAAGGTACTGTGCTTAGAATAATTATTCTGAACCAAAAAAAAGTCTTACATCCCACAGATAGGTATGTTAATTGTAAATATTGTTAAACAAAATTGTGTAATTACACAAGAACAAAAATGTTAATTCTTATTTTAACCATAGGTACAATAAAACATTTTTACAAATATTTCTTATTATCTCCAATGAATTTACATCTGAGTCCAGTACACAGATTTCCTACAGTTGTTTACCCCAATGATATGTTAGTCTTAGTTCCGACACTTTAACTTAATATTGTTTTACCAAATGTTCATAAATTGTACAAAAGTATAAAAATAAAGTGTTTATGTTGACTGATAAGAAACACTTGAAAGTCACCATTACTTCTTACTGATAAAAAGCATAATCTAAATTTCAACTGTCCAAAAAATTGATGGTGATAAGCTAAAATTAACTATTATAGTAGCTATATAAATTAACTCTATTAAAATTAAATTTATTTTAATTGTCAGTTTTTAGTTTAAAATTTAATTTTTTACTAAACATTAACTAGTTTAATGTTTTGCATAGTGAGATTTTAAAACAGATATAAAATGTAGTTATAATTTTCTCTTAAAAAATATGTTTATTTAATTTGTTTCAGAATCAATAAAAATTTTGGGAACAAAGCAAAACCAACAGACACAGTCATGCAGTAGCAGCTGGAGATCAAATAATATAAATATATGTACTCTACATATTTTTTTAATTCATATTAATTAGTACAGTAAATAAAACAGAATATAGTTAAAACTTTTTGTATTATTATTATTTTCTATTTTTCCTTAAAATTTCATAACTATATCTATGCGTACTTATACTCTAACCGTAATACTAATAATGAGTTGGTATATAGAATTGTTGTTATTATATAGATACACAAAAAGCCAAAATGAATACAAAGTGTTGATAAGTGCAGGTACGAAAATTAGAATATACAATTTTTATGAATATGTATTTATAATTTTTCTAATAAATAATAATATAGCGAGCAGTAACTAGAATTGATCGAAATTTAATTAAATGAAATTTGTTAGTAAAGTTCAAGTATATCTAATGAAATCGGGAATTACAAATTATTGGTACTTTTATTTTTAACTAATTTTATTTTTGAAAAATTATAATATTTTTATGATACTAATAAAACAATAAATTGTCTATACAATTATATTAAATTTTAATCAAAAAAAGTATGTTTTTTTAATAATAGTTAAATATTATTTACTTGTCATTAAATTTAAAATAATTTAATAATGTAATTCTGGCGGCCAAATAGCGTTTTATTGATATATTTAAAACATTTTTCTGATCAATAATTGATGAAAAAAAAAACATTTTCCTATTGAAAAAAAAAAAATTTAATAATATAAAAATGTTAAAATAACGTTTTTACTTTTTATGCTGTCTGGGTCACCTATCTCAACAGTGTACTAGAAATATTTGGTATGGACAATTTTAAGCCCTCTAAAACACCCATGGAACCCCGGCTAAGACTCGAGGACTTCAAAGAGAAGAAGACAGCGCATCCATACAGTGAACTCATAGGATGTCTCAGTTATGTAGCGATGGCGTCTCGACCTGACTTATGTTATGCAGTCAA